CAGCACTCTGACTATTAAAGAAAATCACTTTAACTGCAGTATGCACGTGTACAGATGCAGCAAAATGACCATGGATACATTTTGCAAACCCATGTTTCCGATCGTAAATGAAAATCTATTGTAGTATAGTAATAATTTGTATTTGTTTTTATATAGGTTCATCAACCGATTCTCCGTTGTATGTCAGTTTTCAGCTTTTGTACTCAGCGGCATCCCAGTAGTACACCAACCTCATCAATCTGTAATCAAACGGCTGCGTGCTACGCCTCCCAGTTTCTGCAGTGTAACAATAGTAAGCGAATTTGGCAAGCTATCAAATTGCTGTTTAGGACCAAATCCAAAACTCCGTATTGTACAACGGTTCAATTCTGACATCTGATCGACTCAATTCTAGTTCGAATTAGTTTGATGCATGGTAATATTTTCTGAACAAATATGTTGTGAGTGCGCATAGAGAAGCTAGAAAAAGAATTTTTGACTAATTAGCGTTGAGAGAATAGCCGGCAAAGACACATCTTAACATGTTAACAGATCGCGGAACGGCTTTCTACACCATCAAATATGTGTAGGTCATATAAATGATGTCTAATTTTAATCGGTTGTTTTTGTTGTTGTTGTCGTTGTTGAGAGGATTGTGATGCATACAGTACTCTTCACCGTAGACAACGGGTTTTGCGGCCATAAGACTCAACGCGGTCGACAGCAAACATAGTACGGACAAATTAGTTTGGTAATCGTAAGTTCAAATCGTGCAAGTAAAACGAGAATTTGGATATTATTCTCGTGCTGTGAAACTAATGTTGTTGTCTAATAATGTGCCAGTGTTTATAAGAAGGCCATATTTTCCTTACTAAAGGCTATACACTTTGGCGTGTCAATAAAATGAACTTCTGATTCATATCATGTTGCGAACTGACGAGTGTTTTGGCATGTCATGGAATGGAATGTATCTAAACGATCTATTTTGACATGGGTGAACATGATCTGAAATAATCATATTGGCGGATTTGTTTTGATCATCTTCTCGAGTAACGAGCGAATAATACGCTAACTGAAACGCTGCGGGGGGTGGGAGGATGGGGGGCACCAAGCACCTGTTTCGAATTTGCTGTGTGCACCTCATAAATAATGCGAATCTATCGATCCAACTGACTATCGAACTTGGGACCTCACAGGTAGAACGAAAGTCTGCTACCCACGTGACCAACTGCCAGCTGGTCGAACTGCCTGTCCATTTATTCCCTGTACGGTAGAGCACATTCCTTCTCTTTGCAAGACAGTTGGGAAGTCACGTCTCGTTCATCTCAGCAACAAATTCTACGGTAATGAATCCGGTTGAGACATTTCGAATTTGAAATGCACGACGCGTGACGCCCAGCACAATCTAAAATTACATTTGATGCATGCATTTTGGAATGTTCAAATCGAGTATAGACATGCAACTCCGTAGGAAGATTTGTCAACGCATTTGATTGAGCTGATTCAGACGTGGCCAGTGATCGGACGATAGTTGGAATGCGGTGCATTAATTAGAAGACACATGAATGCAGAAAATGCGGAAGTTGGCAGAAGCAGAATGTGAACAAATTGCAGCCACATTTGATCGTCCGAGACATAATCATTGTGAAATGCGAATGCATTCCAAAGGAATTGGAATGTACGGCAAATTTAGATTGAAAATGATGATAAAATAAGACCCGATGATACTCCTGGAAGAAGATTGTGATGTTGTCGTCTGGTGTGTTGTTCAGTTTTGTACGCGTGTGACGGAATCGAGGTAAACATTTTTACAATCTGTCGGTGAAATTCATTCATATATTTTTTAAATGACAGAAAGAGAGGATTGTTAAAATCGTTGGAATGTTGCTTCGCGCTTGATATCGTATTGAATCATATCGCCTACGGAACAATTTCAAGAATAGTTCGTTGGATTGATGTTGAGTCACGAACGGATAGACGATTTGTGGAGCCAATCAGTGATCTATGCCAGTTATTCGGAGTACCTCGAAGTAGACTAAAATAGGCTAAATTATTCGGTTTGGTGATGACTGATGAAACACTCGGGGATTAAACGAACATTTTTGAACAAGCGATTCTTAACGTCTTGTTTCGGCGATGCATATATTTATACGCACCAGTCTGACAGCTGTTCTTCATTAATTTGGTGGAATCAGGGATTCAACATTTTTCGAGGAAACAGTAATTGAAGCAGTGAAATAATGGGTAAAATTTCCTCACGGAGGTAAAATAATGAGAACGATGGAGTTCTAAGCACAAACATATTGTTAGAACACTGTATGTGTATTGCGCATGTATGCATTTCACACCTTCGAAAGGGCGTTTTACTTTGGATTCACATCCCCTTCCGCTTTTCTCAATGTATCGAATCGATGAATGAGGATGAGCGTTCACGAAAATGTGCTTACGTTGTTCAATACCCTTTTGATTCATTCCACTCATCAGCCTTCGAAATGCGGTTCGTGAACCTCTGTTTCCGTATCAGTTTTTAAAAGCATTAACCATATATTTTCGTGCGCCGGTTTTGTTTGTTGTCTTTTGGCCGAATGAAGTTTGAAATTTTGAAATGAAATTCAACTTGAAGATAAAGAAATTTTATTGACTGCGGTTGCCAGAATATTGAGTAAATGCTCGAGCTCCACTGTTTGCGACACCCAGCCATATCACTCAGTGTCACTGAGCACCGGTACCATGATCTTGATGTCCCCAGCCAGGGGTCCCAACTTTAAGCATGTGACCGTGTGTCCTTCTTAGGGTTTTTATACCTTCATGCCAGGTCTGGATTTGGCCACCCTTTGCCTTTGCCATCCTCCACGTGCCTCTACAAACATCGCTCGCTGTTTCAACCTATTCGTTGACATTCGCAGTATATTTCCCTACCACCGTATTCTATGGAGGTCAACCACTTGCTCCGGTGGACGACTGCGAGTACCTAAAACTCTACTCCTAACCTCAGCTTGCCCGCGCGTTTTCCCTACCATACCCAGGTAATTAATAGGATATTCGCTAATTGATTTCCTGCGCTTCTTATTTACAGGTAAAGCAGTGCGATACGACCTATCTGACCTCTTGGACTATGAACAGATTTTTTCAGGTTTTCGGTACGTAAGGTAGTATAATCCGTATTTACAAATACGTTGATGGTAACGGATATTTAGTATAGGACTGCATTTCACGGCCAGATGAATTTTAGTCGAAAATAGCCGAATCTTGTTGGTCGACCTCCCATAAGATAATTGTTGATGCATGCCTAATGAGCACATTGTTTTATGCAACAAAATTATCCATTGTTGATTTGAGCTAATCATCATTCAGACTACACCGTCATTCACAGCACGAATACACGTCCTGTGCGATCACTCAGTCAGTGCGCTCCCGGATTAAGTGGTTTTTCTNTAATGTTACACCATTTTGAAGAGCTTTCATCGCCCTATTCAACAGTCTTGTGTTCATCTCTCTGAGTCAATTTTGGAGATATAAAGGGATACATTTGTGTGTAATTCAATTCTGTGCAGTTTGCCATCACACTTGCACGTGTGTCCACTCCCCGTTCACCGATCACATTGATCGATACGCATTGACTGTCTCCCGTCCATTGTTCTGCACACGGTCTCTCCTCGCTGAATCACACGTGTTTCTCAGTCACCTATCTCTGTTCGCAAGACCTTTGTTAACCGCCTGTCCCCTCGCCGTTCACAGCGCACCAAAATGGGTCGACGGAATATATCGTCAAGTGCCACGCCATTGGCCACTCCCACTGCATGCAGCTACTGCTAAACATGCTATCATCCCAGCTGCGCGAACCAATAGAACAAGCGTTTCAAACAGATGGCGGCACAACCAGATTGTTTGTGGTTTTGCACTGATTGTATGCATTTTCCTATAGTATGACAAACTATTATTGGAGGTTGAGGAAAGGGCCAGTGCAAAAATTTCGGCGCTTGAGAATAAAATAGCCGCTTTGAGTACCCCAGTCCCTCCGAACAGCCCGATTCAACGGCCACCTAAGCGTCCAAGGTACTCCACAAACAGAACCATTCCTGTACAAAGTACGCAGGAAATCGTTGTCAACAATGCACCAACGGCAACAAGAGACACAACCAGAGCCGAGGGATATCATTAGATCACTGAAGCCCATCCAACCAACAGAAAACCCGTCAGCNGCAGGTTGCAAAAGGCGTTAGGAACACCAAATTAATAGTCATCTGCACGAATTTACCTGAACCGACAACCCAACCACTGAAGGAAGAGCAAGAAGAAGAGCTTGGTCGTTGGAAAGGTTTGTGCGTTCTAATGGGAATTGATGTCCAACCTGTGAGCCTTACGCACCTTGTGCGCCAGTTAAATTCGCCACACGCAGGAGAACTCAGGTTTATTCGGAGTTACACTGAAGAGTGAAATAGACGTTGAGAACGTCCTTCTTTCGAGTTACGTCTTGAGAAATAGTTCCAATACCACAAAAATTTTCTCCGATAGACCATGGGCAGAGCACGTGAAACACCGGAAAAATCCACAGGGTGCACTGGAGGTAGGGAACAAAAGGGTTTTCCTCATTCATGGGGTCCCACAACTAAATGATTCTGATGAGTCCAGATGCTGCTATAACGATCATAAGGAGTGGTGTTTTATTAAAGATCTAATAAACTGCCAAGATGTTTTTACCACATCAGTCAGTCGTCTTAATTGTTCGCCAAATTACCATGGTAACGGCCCCAAGATAATGAAGGTCACCCTCAGCACCCCAGAAGTACAACC